CCTTTGAGCTGCAAGATAGCTCATGATAAATCATGACAGACGCTAACGTATTCAACAGAAAAAGACAAATGTGGGGAGCAAACCGGACTAGACTGAGTTACTGGAATTAAGACTTATTCTATGCATCTGCTCTCCCACAATATGGCGCTGGGAGAGAAGTAAACAGCTTCCGCACAGCTGCCTCCAGTTCAACCAATTAACTGTAGGACTTGCTCCTGATTGGAGGAGAGCAGCGTACTCGGCGTGTGGGCAGCCGAGTTGGGATTGGCGGAGGAGGACTATAAAGGAGGAGAGAGACGGCATGCACCAGGAACATCTATGGGGAACATCTAAGGGAACCCGTGCAGCCCCCGAGAAAGCCGGCCGGCGGTGTGCTGCTCCCCTGCGGAAGTGGGGAATGTGGCCAGGGGGAACTGCCCTTCCACGGAGGTGGAAGGGATAGTAGCCAACCCGGGAAGAACCAGCAGCAAACCCGGGGAGGGCCGAGCAGACAGAAAGAACAGCGCAGGGTCCTGTGTCGTTCCTCCACGAAGAGGGGGAGCGACATAATGGTGCCGTGACTCGGATATGAAGCCCAGGCAGGGCTTAGTGTCGTTCCTCCACGAAGAGGGGGAGCGACATAATGGTGCCGTGACTCGGGTTAGGAAACCTAGGTCGGATAGCAAACTTTTTTTTTTTTTTTCTTTTATTTAATGAATATAAATTTCCAAAGTACGTCTCATGGGTTACAATGGCTTTCCCCCCCATACCGTCCCTCCCACCCACCACCCTCCCCTTTCCCACTCCCTCTCCCCTTCCATTCACATCAAGATTCATTTTCGATTATTTTAGTATACAGAAGATCAGCTTATTATACCTTAAGTAAGGATTTCAACAGTTTGTTCCCACACAGAAACATAAAGTGAAAAATAATAGATGATTTTTTTTTAAATGATGATGAAATCAGATCAGACCTATTGTCATGTTTAATCCCAGTGAGAGTCAAGTTGGGAATTGATAGTTTCTTTTTTTTTTTTTTTTTTTTTAACAGAAGATCAGTTTAGTGTACATTAAGTAAAGATTTCAACAGTTTGCACCCCCATAGAAACACAAAGTGAAATATACTGTTTGAGTACTCGTTATAGCGTTAAGCCTCAGTGTACAGCACATTAAGGACAGAGATCCTACATGAGGAGTAAGTGCACAGTGACTCCTGTTGTTGACTTTACAAATTGACACTCCTGTTTATGGCATCAGTAATCTCCCTATGCACCAGTCATGAGTTTCCAAGGCTATGGAAGCCCTCTGAGTTCTCCGACTCTTATCTTGTTTAGACAAGGTCATAGTCAAAGTGGAGGTTCTCTCCTCCATTCAGAGAAAGGCACCTCCCTCTTTGAAGACCTGTTCTTTCCACTGGGATCTCACTCACAGAGATCTTTTTGCCAGAGTGTCTTGGCTTTCCATGCCTGAAATACTCTCATGGGCTTTTCAGCCAGATCGGAATGCCTTTAGGGCTGATTCTGAGGCCAGAGTGCTATTTAGGACATCTGCCATTCTATGAGTCTGCTGAGTATCTCACTTCCCATGTTGGATCACTCTCCCCTTTATTTATTCTATCGGTTAGTATTAAGCAGGTACTAGACTTGTTCATGTGCTCCCTTTTACTCTTAGTCCTTTCATTATGATCAATTGTGAACTGAAATTGATCACTTGGAATAGTGAGATGGCATTGGCACATGCCACCTTGATGGGATTGAATTGGAATCCCCTAGTATGTTTCCAACTCTACCAATTGGGGCAAGTCAGCCCGAGCATGCCCCAAATTATACATCTCTTCCCTCTCTTATTCCTACTCTTATGTTTAACAGGGATCACATTTCAGTTAATTTTCAACACTTAAGAATAACTGTGTGATAATTACAGAATTAAACCAGTCATATTAAGTAGAACAGACAAAAAAAAATACTATGAGGGATAATGTATTAAGTTGTCCATTAGCAGTCAGGGCTATGCTGATCAAGTCACCATTTCTCATAGTGTCCATTTCACTTCAGGAGGTTTCCTTTTTGGTGTTCAGTCAGTTGTCACCGATCAGGGAGAACATATGGTATTTGTCCCTTTGGGACTGGCTTACTTCACTCAGCATGATGTGTTCCAGATTCCTCCATTTTGTTGCAAATGACTGGATTTCGTTGTTTCTTACTGCGGTATAGTATTCTAAAGAATACATATCCCATAATTTCTTTATCCAGTCTACCATTGATGGGCATTTAGGTTGGTTCCAGGTCTTGGCTATTGTGAATTGAGCTGCAATAAACATTAGGGTGCAGACCGCTTTTTTCTTTATCAATTTAAACTCCTTTGGGTAAATTCCAAGGAGTGGGATGGCTGGGTCGAACGGTAGGGTTATATTCAGGTTTCTGAGGAATCTCCAGACTGATTTCCATAGTGGCTTGACCAGTTTGCATTCCCACCAACAGTGGGTTAGTGTCCCTTTTTCCCCAGATCCTCGCCAGCATCTGTTGTTGGTAGATTTCTGTATGTGAGCCATTCTAACCGGGGTGAGGTGAAACCTCATTGTGCTTTTGATTTGCATTTCCCTGATTGCTAGTGACCTTGAACATTTTTTCATGTGCCTGTTGGCCATTTGGATTTCCTCTTTTGAAAAATGTCTATTGAAGTCCTTGGCCCATCTCTTAAGTGGGTTGTTGGTTTTGTTTTTGTGGAGTTTCTTGATCTCTTTGTAGATTCTGGTTATTAACCCTTTATCTGTTGCATAGTTTGCAAATATTTTTTCCTATTCTGTCGGTTGTCTCTTCACTCTCCTGACTGTTTCTTTTGCAGTACAGAAACTTCTCAATTTGATGCAATCCCAATAGTTGATTTTGGCTTTGACTGCCTGTGCCTCCCGGGTCTTTTCCAGAAATTCTTTGCCTGTGCCAATATCTTGAAGGGTTTCTCCAATGTTCTCTAATAACTTAATGGTGTCAGGACGTAGATTTAGGTCTTTAATCCACGTTGAGTGGATTTTTGTGTAAGGTGTAAGGTAGGGGTCTTGCTTCATGCTTCTGCACGTGGAAATCCAGTTTTCCCAGCACCATTTATTGAATAGACTGTCCTTGCTCCAGGAATTAGTTTTAGATCCTTGATCAAATATAAGTTGGCTGTAGATGTTTGGGTTGATTTCTGGTGTTTCAATTCTGTTCCATTGGTCTATCCATCTGTTTCTGTACCAGTACCATGCTGTTTTGATTACAACTGCCCTGTAGTATGTCCTGAAATCTGGTATTGTGATGCCTCCGGCTTTGTTTTTGTTGTACAAGATTGCTTTAGCTATTCGAGGTCTCTTGTGCCTCCATATGAATTTCAGCATCATTTTTTCTAGATCTGCGAAGAATGTCTTTGGTATCTTGATTGGGATTGCATTGAATCTATAAATTGCTTTTGGGAGAATGGACATTTTGATGATGTTGATTCTTCCAATCCATGAGCATGGAAGATTTTTCCATTTTTTGGTATCCTCTTCTATTTCTTTCTTTAAGGTTTTGTAATTTTCATCGTAGAGATCTTTGACGTCCTTGGTTAAGTTTATTCCAAGGTATTTGATTGTTTTTGTAGCTATTGTGAATGGGATTGATCTTAGCAGTTCTTTCTCAGTCATGGCATTACTTGTGTATACAAAGGCTGTTGATTTTTGTGCATTGATTTTATATCCTGCCACTTTGCCAAACTCCTCTATGAGTTCCAATAGTCTCTTAGTAGAGTTCTTTGGATCCTCTAAGTACAGAATCATATCGTCTGCAAAGAGGGATAGTTTGACTTCTTCCTTCTTGATTTGTGTTCCTTTGATTTCTTTTTCTTGTCTGATGGCTCTGGCTAAAACTTCCAGAACTATGTTAAATAGCAGTGGTGAGAGTGGGCATCCCTGCCTGGTGCCAGATTTCAGTGGAAATGCTTCCAACTTTTCCCCATTCAATAGGATGCTGGCTGTGGGTTTTTTATAAATTGCTTTGATTATATTGAGGAATGTTCCTTCTATACCCAATTTGCTTAGAGTTTTCATCATGAAAGGGTGTTGAATTTTATCAAATGCTTTCTCTGCATCAATTGAGATAATCATATGGTTTTTCTTCTGCAGTCTGTTAATGTGGTGAATCACATTGATTGATTTGCGAATGTTGAACCATCCCTGCATACCAGGGATGAATCCCACTTGGTCTGGGTGGATGATTTTCCTGATGTGTTGTTGTATTCTATTGGCCAGAATTTTATTGAGGATTTTTGCATCTATGTTCATCAGGGATATTGGTCTGTAATTTTCTTTCAGTGCTGCATCTTTCTCTGGCTTAGGGATTAAGGTGATGCTGGCTTCATAGAAAGAATTTGGGAGGATTCCCTCTTCTTCGATTGTTCTGAATAGTTTGAGAAGAAATGGGATTAGTTCTTCTTTAAATGTCTGGTAGAATTCAGCAGTGAATCCATCTGGTCCTGGGCTTTTCTTTGTTGGGAGGGCCTTTATTACTGTTTCAATTTCTGTTTCAGTTATGGGTCTATTTAGGTTTTCGATGTCTTCATGGTTCAATTTTGGTAGATTGCATGTGTCCAGGAATCTATCCATTTCTGATAGGTTTTCCTGTTTGCTGGCATACAGGTCCTTGTAGTAATTTCTGATGATTCTTTTTATTTCTGTGGTGTCTGTTGTTACGTTTCCTTTTTCATCTCTGATTTTATTGATTTGGGTCTTTTCTCTTCTTTTTTTAGTTAGTTGGGCCAATGGGGTGTCAATTTTGTTTATTTTTTCAAAAAACCAGCTTCTCGCTTGGCTGATTTTTTGTAATGTTTTTTTGGATTCAATCCTGTTAATTTCTTCTCTGGTTTTAATTATTTCTCTTCTCCTACTAGATTTGGGTTTGGTTTGCTGCAGTTTTTCTAGGTCCTTGAGGTGCGCTGAAAGCTCATTTATTTGGTACCTTTCCAATTTCTTGATATAGGCACCTATTGCTATAAATTTGCCTCTCAATACTGCTTTTGCTGTATCCCATAAGTTTTGATATGTTGTGTTGTTGTCTTCATTTACTTCCAGAAAGTTTTTGATTTCTCTTTTGATTTCTTGAATGACCCAGTGTTCATTCAGGAGCATGTTGTTCAGTCTCCATGTGTTTGCATACTTTCTGGGGTTTCCTGAGTTGCTAATTTCCAGCTTCATCCCACTGTGGTCTGAGAAGCTGCATGGTATGATTCTAATTCTTTTAAATTTGCTGAGATTTGCTTTATGTCCTAGTATGTGATCAATCCTAGAGAAGGTTCCATGCGCTGCTGAGAAGAATGTGAAGTCTGTAGATGTAGGGTTGAAAGTTCTGTAGATATCTGTTAGATCCATTTGGGCAATAGTGTCAATTAAATCTGCTGTTTCCTTGTTGATCTTCTGTCCGGATGATCTGTCTATTTCTGAGAGTGGAGTATTGAAGTCCCCCAGTACTATTGTATTGGAATCTAAATCTCCCTTTAAGTCCCTTAACATATCTTTTAAATAGACCGGTGCCCTGTAATTAGGTGCATATACATTTATAATAGTTACATCTTCCTGTTGAATTGAACCCTTAATCATTATATAGTGTCCCTCTTTGTCTCTCTTAACAGTTTTTGTATTAAAGTTTATTTTGTCTGATATTAATATGGCTACACCTGCTTTTTTTTGGTTTCTGTTGGCATGGAATATCTTTTTCCAACCTTTCACTTTCAGTCTGCATGCCTCTTTGTTAGAGAGATGTGTTTCTTGTAGGCAACAAATAGTTGGGTTGTGTTCTGTGAGCCAGTCAGCTAAACGGTGTCTTTTAACTGAAGAATTCAGACCATTAATGTTCAATGTGACAATTGATACGTAGTGACTTTGCCCTGCCATTTTCCCGGAAATATTTTCTAGTATATGCTTTGAGCTTCCCATGCTCTTTTACTGGTAGGTGTTCTTCCTTTCCCTTCTTTCATATTGATGGCCGTGTTTCTGTGTTTCTGAGTGTAGCACATCTTTAAGTATCTTTTGCAGGGCCGGACGAGTGGCCACAAAGTCTTTCAATTTCTGTTTGCTATGAAAGGTCTTTATTTCACCTTCATTCACAAATGATAGGTTGGCAGGATATAATATTCTGGGCTGGCAATTTTTCTCTCTTAGCACCTGTGCTATGTCTCGCCATTCCCTCCTAGCTTGTAGGGTTTCTGATGAGAAGTCAGCTGTGAGTCTGATTGGAGATCCTCTGAGAGTAATCTGACGTTTCTCTCTTGCACATTTTAGGATCTTTTCTTTATGTTTCACTGTGGTAAGTTTAATTACCACGTGTCGTGGTGAGGATCTCTTTTGGTCATGTTTATTGGGGGTTCTATGAGCTTCCTGTACTAGGATATCTCTGTCCTTCTCCAAACCTGGAAAGTTCTCTGCTAGTATCTCACTAAAAAGGCCTTCCAATCCTTTCTCTCTCTCCATGCCTTCAGGAACTCCTAGAACTCGAATGTTGGTTTTTTTAATAGTATCCTGTAGATTCCCAACAATATTTTTCAGGTTTCTAATTTCCTCTTCTTTTCTTTGGTTTGACTGTATGTTTTCCTGTGCTCTATCTTCTAAGTCCGAAATTCTCTCTTCTGCTTCACCCATTCTGTTTTTAAGGCTTTCTAATGTGTTTGTCATTTGATCTATTGAGCTCTTCATTTCATTTTGATTTCTCTTGACTATTACACTTTCCTGTTCTACTAGTTTCTGAGTTTCATTTTGACTCTTCCTTAAAATTTCATTTTCACGAGAAAGATTTTCAATCTTGTCCATTAAGGATTTCTGTAGTTCAAGGATTTGCTTTTGAAAACTTCTAAATGTTCTTATCATAAATTTTTTGAAATCCGTATCTTGCATTTCTTCTATCTCATCATCTTCATACTCTTGGCTTGGGGTGTTTTGCTTATTTGGAGGCATCATAGTGTCATCGTTGATCTTGCTCCCTCTATTTCTGTGTTTGTTACTCGGCATAGTTAATTCTTCTTGCGTCACTGTGCGCTTTTTTTTTTCTTTTTTTTTTTTTTTTTATACTGTGTCCGTGTTAAGTGGACTGCCTGCTGTTGGAGGAGCCTTGGAGGCTTGAGATGGGTGCGGCCTGAGAGCTCTGCCTGGTTCTTCCAGGTTAAGGGTGTGCAAAGGTGACACCCTCAGGTTATGTGTGGTAAATCTCTCTCTTTTTATTTATTTATTTATTTTATTTATTCAGGGGGTAAGTAACACTGCAGGGCAGGGCTGTGCAGAATTGATGGTATTTAGCTTCCAGTCTTTGGCTCCTCTGGACTCCCACTGGGTTGCCTAGGCTACTGAATTGTAGTGACTCAGTTCCTTAACTCTCCCCCACTGATATGTAAATCCAAAGAGGAGGCCTGCTCTTTGTCTCTTGGGAATTCTTCAAGTCTGGCAGCCTTGTAACCTTTGCAAGGTTAGGGGGAAGAGAAACCCCAAAGCTTTTTTTTTTCCTTCTTTCCGGTAGTGAGTTTGCTGCACTTTCCGGCCCCCCTCTAGATTCTGACCCCCGTTTCCCCACCAATGTCTCGGGTTATTGAGCTCACCTCCCCTTCCAGCGCCGATGTGTGGACTCGGAGCCCTGAGCGTCTCAAGTCTCCCCGCTGTTTTCTGTGTGGCGTGCACTCTCCTTGGAGCACTGTCGCGCAGACCCTGGGGCTTCTGCGGCTGGGTCCCGCGACTTTGCTTCCGTGCGGTGGGCGACCTTGTTCTCCCAGTAGGTCGTCCGATTCACGCCTGCTCCATTCAGAAGGGTTTCCCCTGCAATTTTTGTTTGGTTCTATTTTCTGCGGCTACCGTAACTCCCCTTTTATTAAACTAAATTTTCCCGGACTATCGGTGCGCGCCCTCACTCGGATAGCAAACTTAAGAGGGAAGAAACGGGAAGAACTGGGAAAATACCGGAGAGAGAGACTAGCAAACAGCCTAGGGAAAAGCCGGACGAAAAGGGTGCCGGAAGAAGCTATTGAAAGCCTAGGCATAGACTCAGATACGGACTACGGGGGGAAGCTGGGAGAAATCTCTAAGGTCGAAAGCGAAAGTGAATGCTAGAACAAACAGACTCGGACGCGGACTGTGGGGAGAGGCCAGGAGAAATGAGGGAGGAATATCGTTGGAGGAAAGTTTGGGGAAACATACCGGGTAGAGAAAAATGTTAGGGAAATTGAAGCCGTGGGGGGCAGGCCAAGGCGGACACGAAAGCCACTTTGGGGTTCTCAAGTTAGCCCGGGAATAGGGGGCGAAAAGTTGAAACCAGAAGCTGAAACGTGAGCCTGGTTGGGATCCGTCTGATTAGCCCGGGGAGCAAAGGACGGGAAGCCAAACCGTGGGGCGGAGACGTATGCTGGGTTGAATTCGCCAGGCTAGCCCGGGGAACTTAGATTGAATGCTAGTGGCGGACACGTAAGCTACGCTGTGTTACTCGCGGAAGCCGCCACGTGCAGAGAGAGCACGGGGCGTGAATAGATAGGGAACGGGGCTGGCGCGAGGCCGTGGTGCAGACGCGAAAGGCGTGGAGACCGCGGAGCGCGCGAAGCCAAGCCGCGCAAAGCCGAGCCGTGCAGATGAGAGAGGCTGAAGCGGCTCAGAGCCGGCGAGGCGCCGAGAAGCAGCCTCGGGGCGGGGCAAGGCGCCGGGAAGCTGCGCGGAGCCGTGAAGCTGCCGGCAGGGCGAGGCACCGGGAAGCTGCAGGGATAAGAGAAATAGAAGTTTAGAAATAAAATGAGAAGAAATAAGAATGCTGGGAGATAGAAGTAAAATGGGAGAAATAGGAATGCCCGGAGATAGAGAAATAGAGAAATAGAAAGGCCTCCCCTCATCATGGCAATGAGAAAGCTTGGATTCGGTCTGCCTGATTAAGTGAGGCGATGAGCACCTGGGCGGCTAGCAGCTTATGCGCCGCAGGTCACCGAAGACAGGCACGAATTAACATCAGTAAGGCTTCCCCACAATGTAACAATTAGGAGGCTTGGATTCGGTCTGCCTGATTAAGGCGGTAAGCGCCAGCAAGCAGCTCGACCAGAGTATGAGCTGCAGGTCACCGAAGATAGGCACGAACCAACACTAATAAGTCTCCCCCACAATACGGCAATGAGAAGGCTTGGATTCGGTTTGCCTGATAGGGCTTGTAAGCCCCCTGCAGGCAGAGCATGCGCTGCAGGGCACCGAACACAGGCACGCATCAGCGCCTAAAAACCTCCTCACAACATGGCGAAGAGAGGACCCGGATTCGGTTTGCCTGATTGATAGGACTTTTAAGAACCTGTGGCAACTCTAGCAAGTAGAGCAGAGTGTGTGCCGCGGGACACCGAAGACAGGCGCGTATCAACACCAAAAATAAAAAGAAAGGGGGATCTGTGGGGAGCAAACCGGACTAGACTGAGTTACTGGAATTAAGACTTATTCTATGCATTTGCTCTCCCACAATATGGCGCTGGGAGAGAAGTAAACAGCTTCCGCACAGCTGCCTCCAGTTCAACCAATTAACTGTAGGACTTGCTCCTGATTGGAGGAGAGCAGCGTACTCGGCGTGTGGGCAGCCGAGTTGGGATTGGCGGAGGAGGACTATAAAGGAGGAGAGAGACGGCATGCACCAGGAACATCTATGGGGAACATCTAAGGGAACCCGTGCAGCCCCCGAGAAAGCCGGCCGGCGGTGTGCCGCTCCCCTGCGGAAGTGGGGAATGTGGCCAGGGGGAACTGCCCTTCCACGGAGGTGGAAGGGATAGTAGCCAACCCGGGAAGAACCAGCAGCAAACCCGGGGAGGGCCGAGCAGACAGAAAGAACAGCGCAGGGTCCTGTGTCGTTCCTCCACGAAGAGGGGGAGCGACAACAAATAAGGAATTTCTGCTCATTTGGCCTCTCTGAGGTCTCAGCAAGCATGAGGCTCACCTTTTCACACCCACTTCTTGCTATCCCCTCAAAATACAAGCTTCTTCCCTGCTCTCTGTCTCTTCTCCTCTCGCATGCTTCTAACACTAGCATGTTTATGTTATGACAAAACCAGAGGCAACTGACCTAGAGGAGAAATGAAGCACGAAGAAAATTACTCCCCAAAACTGATTTTACCCTTTACTCTGGGCACTAATGGGTGTAAAGCTAATGGATTGTACCCCCTGCATATCTAAAATCATATAGAAGCTTTGAATAAGTCATCTATTCATGCTAAAAACTCCAATGTAACAGTCTTTAAAAGTATTTTTAGACTACAAAATGAGATTTAATAAAGTCTGCCACTCACCTTTCAACTGTGGAGTAAAAGTTGTTTTTAAGCTAGTGGGATTGAGTCCAAGGGACAATTCTCAAATGTACCAAACCCCAACAGGTGGTAGAGCTTAGAGGGCAAGTGCACAAGTTCTGGGCCAAGACTGCTTGGCTGAATCTATACTTTATACCTTCCTAGCTTGGCTGGCTACTCCAAGCTCCTAAAATGCTCCCTGCTTCATTTTTCCCATCCATAAAAAGAAAATAATAATAATAACTACAACACACAGTTGGAATGCATGTCACATGATGTAATAAGCAAGGGCTTAGATGTGCACCTTGCAAATAGGAAGTACTCAGTACACCTTAGCTGTAGTTGTTACTCAAAACAGTCCTTTCTCTAAGGATGCATGTGCAAAATAACATATTTTCCATCCATCCAGACTTTGTCTCATCTTATGCATTCCTTCATTCAAACACATTGACTAAAGTTCTCCTATGTGGCTTGACCTGTACTTGGCTCTGGGCTTATAACAGAATAAGAGAAATGTGGCACCTAGTCTCATGAAGTTTACAACATACTGGGGAAGATGGAAAAACCAGGCCACAACTAAGTGCTTACAAATGGTTGTAAGTGATATGAAGGAAAGAAAGACAAGGGACTGAGACAAAGATCCGAGGATGGAGACTTATACGGTGCTATTTCCTCTGACACTGACCCAAAGGCTGAAAGGAGATTAGTAATTTTAGGAGTTGGGGGAAAGAACATGTCAGCCTGAGAGGGACTATGAAGCATTCCCGGGTCTGTAGGGAACCTCTGTGTTTGAAGGGAAATAAACAAGACACAAAGTTCAGGTGAGACCCATAGAGGCTGCACAACATCGATGAAAAGCTACTACAGCTTTCACAAAGAAGAATGAGAACAGTGACATTTGCCTCTGAAAAGGCGGCCCAAGGTAAAATGAAAGGAGACACGAGTGGAATCCAGTCAGAAGGCAGTTGGTGGACAGCCACATGGGAAGGGATAGCAACCTCAATGAGCATGGCAGTCTTATACATTGCTAAAGAGTTAGGCTGTTGTCCGGGTTTGATTTTCCTCACCTGTAAAATGGGGCTAATGATACTAAAGCTACTGGGAAAATAAATTATATGGACTTCTGATTTTAGCCTCACATATAAACAGCTTGAAAACTGATACTGTTATCTTTACAACAAGAAAGAGCTGAACAACCTGATAATCAATGACTTTTCCTGGACCTAGAATATAATTGAGTTTTCAGGCAAACTGCCACTGCCACTCCAAACCTGGAGAGAGAGGTGAGTCCAACAAGTCAAACGCGGATCTGTTTACCTAAAGTGTATTCCTCTGGTAGGAACATTTAAGTGGTAAATCTGATGATTTGCTAGAGGCTGGACATGAGTTAGCTGGAGGGTGAGAAACTCCTAGAGATCAGTGTTTGGGGATCCCTATACTTTAATGGGTTTTGCCTCAAGGAATTTCACCAGGTTCTCAAGGTGAATGTCTGAGAAAGGTCATTTCTTGGTTCTGAGAGGACAAAGGAATAATAATCATTGTAAGATATGTCCAGAGCATTTTCTATAGCAAAAAAATAATGGAATCTTTTTCCAGTTAAGGAAAAGGCATTTCTTCCACTCCAGTCCCCTTAGCTTTTCTTTCTTACCCAAGAGGGAGAGGAAAAAACTAACAAGCCTTTGTAAAGGTCACAGCATAGGGACACATAATCATTAAAAGGCTGACATTTAACATAAACAATTATGGACTGTTCTACTCCCCCACAACTTATAACAGTGCCAACAGGGCTCCAATACAATAATCATGGGTTATTGTTGAAAGAGTTTAGAGATTCAGGCTCTGAGGGGCGATAATTAGGGAAGTACAATTCCAGAGGATAGAAAAACAGCAAGAACACTGGAAAAATTTGAAGCCTCTGATATCTACAGCTATGGCAAACATTAGACATAACCTAACACCTAGCCAGGTTAACATAGAACCTCATACTAAAATCTAGTTATCTCATTCTTATTATTAAATGCTTTATACTCAGCATAATGAAAAATTATGAAGCACATCAAAAGGCAGAAAAAAAGGGAAAAACTTGATTTAGATGACACCAATGTTGGAATTATAAAATAAGGAATTTAAAATATGATTAATATAAGTCACAATTGAAAAATAGACAATGAGAAATAACAGATGCATAAAATAAAAAGATGTGAAAACTTAAAATCAAAAAGAAATGCTATACATGAAATGAAAGTATTGTAACATAAATGAAGAATGCCTGTGACAGGTTTATTAATAGATCGGACACGGCCAAAGGAAGAATCAGTGAGCTGGAAGATAGGCCAATAGGAATGCTCCAAACTACAGTTTCCATTTGAAAAATGGGATTAAAAGTACAGAGCATACAACAACTTTAGGACATTTTTGCAACTTATACCATATACATATCTGGAATATTAAAACAAGAAAGGATAGAAAATGAAGCAAAAGAAATATTTGAAGGAATTATGGCTGAGAACTTTCCAAAATCAATGAGACACCAAGCAGCAGATTTAGACGTGTCAGAGATCATCAAGATGGATAATTGAAAAATTAAAAAAGCCTACATCTAGTCATATCATATTCCAACTGCAGAAAACCAAATAAAGAAAGAAAAATTTTAGAGAATTTCAGGGGATAATTATGTGTGGGGACATACTCCTTATAGAGGAACAAAGAAAAATTACAGCAAGAGATACATAGCGTGGTGTTGATAGTGAATAACAATATATTTTGAAAATCACAGAGTAGATTCCCATGAACGTGTTCATGTACTCTCAAATTATATACATAATTCTTTACAAATCAAAGGTCCATTTGTCTTCCTAGAATGTCAGGTCTCTGAGGGCAAGTGCCATCTCTGAATCCCATGCCCAGTACCTGGCACATCATGGACATTCAGAACCTTACTGTGGAAAGAACAGGTGAGTGAATGAATCCGTGATGTCTCTGGTGGACAGTCTTCAGTATGGCATTGGTGCCCTTCTCCATGTCCACTTCACCACTCTCCATGCTGCCCTTCTGCAGAGTTGTCTGAGGACAAGTCACTTCAATTTCCTTCCTCGGGGATTGATCCACATTGCTCAACTCATCATTATCACCCATTAAAGTTCTAATGGCCATATGGCCTTATCCCTTATCCAGTATCACAAAGAGAACAGATTTTTATGTATTTCATAAGTACAGATCTAAGAAAATAACCATACTTCTCTTTCCCCCAATCTCACCCCTCTCTCCCTTGTTTTCACAAACAAGTTTTGGCTCAAACATAAGTCCCCTAAATTGGTTGTGGTACTGACTTTTTAAAGATGAACTCTAGGACTGTGTCCACAATCATGGGACAACTACTAATGTCTTCCACAGATTTAGGAAAGTGAAGTGGTCACAAGAGGGGCAGGCATTTGTCATAGTTCAGGCACTCTGCTAAATATATACCTTGATTCTGTAGGGAAGGGATGCTCTTTCTCCCAATGTTATTCCCCCCACCTAGTGAAGTACACGCAGAGCCAGCCCCTCGCCTGCATCAGAAGGAAACTGCCAAGTATTCAGAAACTTCACCTTCCCCACATGATGTCACTGCTTCCCAATGACACTATCAGTCATATGCAGTTGCACTTAAATCACAGAAAATCTTCCACCCAGAGATACTGTTGTATATTGGAATGTTCTAAACTTCTAAACATGCTTCAGACACAAGATACTATTTACAGATAGTCAGAGCGTTTGGTTCTACAGGATTCATTGATTCATTGAAAGAATGTCTCCAGGCTTTGGTTTCCTCATCTATAGAAAAATTAAAATGATCATTCATTATATTAATACAAAAATTATTTTAAATGATCTTTATATTAATACAAAAATTAATTTTAAATGATCTTTACAAGTTTCTCTAACCCCAATAACCCTCTGAATCTCTGAGTAGCTCTTTGTTTTAATTATATGAAATGTTTTCTTTAATTATCTTCATTGATTTATCAAACAGGTGTTCATATGGAATTGCTATTTTGTAAGTCAGAATTAGCCAAATATGGGCAGTTAAAATACCACAATTTAATATCATATGCCCAGCAAAGTATACATATACACATAGTTTACCCAATATCATATTTACAATAGAGTATATACATGTACCATGTTTACTCAATCTCATTATATGAATATCCACTATTTATTCATCTATTTTCTTATTGATGGACACAAATGTGAATTCTAGTTTAGTTTTGGGTTTACTACTACCAACAAGGTTGCTATGAACATTCTTATCCATGTCATCAAGTGCATATTCTTGAATTTTTCTAGGATTGAAATAGACAAATCATAGTATATGCATATCTTCAATTTTATTTCATAATATTCAGTGTCTTCCAAAGTGTATCTGCACAATCGACACTTCCACCAGCAGCATATACAGCTCTCTGTTGTCCTACATCCTTGCCAACACTTGTTATTACCTGAATTATTTTTTTCAATTGTTGCCTTCTGTTGGCTATAACATAGCACTTCATTGTGGTTTTAATTTGTATGTTTCTGATAAGGAACAAACATGGGCATCTCTCCTCCCATTAAATCTTTCATCTGAATTATCTACAAACTGTAGAATTGTGGGCTGAGTTTTAGCTCCTTTCCTTTCTCTGAACTTATATATTTTAACCAGCTGGTGAATAGTGACATAGCCTTGGAGGACACAGTGGGGAGCACTGGGATAACCCACTAAGTTGATAATCTGCCTTTAAATGAATAACCAGGAGTGGACCTTTGGGAACTGAACTCATACAATTCAATTTGCCATACCCCAGTGTAATATTTCACATCTTGCTAAAATTCAGACCAAGCAGTATTTTGCATGCAACTAAATACTTGGTGATTCTTTCATTTAAATGATTAGTTTATTTCAACTACAACTTGCTTGAGGCACAAAAGGTTTGTACAACTCCCCCCACCACCATGTTATCCCCCAGTTAGCCCCTTAACCTTCTTATATGAAGCTGTTTCTGAATCTCTTACTCTCCCCACTTGAGGATGTGCCATTTTTCTCAATGATTCTTGGGAATTGTGACCTTGGGATTCAGAAATAAGGCTCTACATGTGAACACTTTAACTCACACCATTCAATAGCACATATACAGGAAAGCAACCTTTCATTATATTTGTTCTTCAAGGAAAAAGCTAAGTGTTTTTCCCCTCCACCCAGAGAATTCAACAAGAATGACCATGTTCCTTAAGTGATTGTGAATAAATGATTCTGATGAATAAAATTAGGTAGTAGGGTGGAAAAAAAAAGTCACCCATGGAGTCAGAAACAATTGAAAAATGAATACAGGCTACCCCCATCCCTGGCCTTTGTTGAAGGGATCACCAGAGATCTATGTAGATATTATTTTGAAATTTAGAGCTTCAACTTGTATGAACATGAATGCCCATGCTGAGTTTTTGCGTGCCTCTGTGAAACAGCAAAAAGGACCCGACAGACCCTATTCTTGCATTAAAGCAACACACTGTGGAAAGCCTGAAAATAAACCATCTAAGCTTGATTAATTAGGTTTGTAAGTATTGTTTCGGAACCAAACAATATTTCTAAAGATTTCAATAGTTCAAAGATTGCCCTATGGCCATCTGGCCAATACATCTTCCAACACATGCAGTTTACAAGCATTTTTCTTCCCAATATGTTGTCTTTGGTTGGTGCGACATTGTTTGAGTGCGGGGCTATTTGGGTCATAGTGGTTTTCTCCTCTGCACAGCAGTGGTGCTGAGCGCAGCACTTTGACCATACATCTTCCATGTCATTTCCATCAAAGGCACATGATACTTCCTGGTGACCAATCAGGAGTGGCCCAGCATCCTAACAGAGGGCATATTGGCAAACCAAGCTTTCTTAATGACAGCCATTGTTCAAGGCCAACAAAAGGGAGGTCCTGAATATTAACATGTGGCCTTGTGTAAAGGTCACCAGTATGGCACATCCATCATATTTCACAACCAAGAAAGAGAACTTTATAGGTTCTGTCAGAATCTACTGTTGTCCAAATAAATGTATTAGGCTGACAGCTGACACCAAGGAGCAAATGATCTTGAGTGATGATAGCCTTTTTAAACAAATATCCTTTCACTTCTTTGAAGCAGCAACAGACATTATGGTGAGGAATGATGTTTAAGGAGTATACCTCGAGGCCACTGGGGGTTAGAATAACCAGGCAACCCAATTAAAATATTAATTTAATAACATGTTATCATTTGGCTAAATGGCATCTCCTTCTAACAGGCATAACTTCCCACAATGAAAAGAAAAATCACATATTTTAATGTCTCAGAGTCTCCAACGATATTCCTAATGGTAAAGACCACCAATTCATCAAAATTTTATCAGTGATACTTAGATTGTTAACACAATGAGAAGATAATTCAAAGGCCTGGGCTTACTGACAACAGTGTGTTTTAGTTGAAAGTTATGCAGAGGCAAAATATGATGGCAGAATTAAATGAAGGTAAATGGTGTCCTATACATTTAATATTAAACTGAAAATCTTTATCAAGTTTTCCAGCTTTATAATCTTGATTAGAGAAAATTATTTATTCAACATTAAAGATACAAGGTTCTGAAGATGCAACACTACCTTTTAAAAAAAGTTAGAATTTATTCCTATTTAAAATATCTTTAAAAAAAAATAAGCAAGAGAAAGAGTAGTGGACAAGGGTGTATCTCAGCTCCCTCACCCTGACATTACTGTTATAAGATGATGAGCCGTGTTTTTTTTTTAATTCCTCACACATATTATACTCTCTCCTGACATGCATCTACTTTCTTTCTATTGGAAATATTTTCCATAGGCTGTCTTCTTCTAACTCCTTCAGTTCTTTTTCCTAAATTCTAAACTCCTTGAATCCTCTTGCTGCTTGTTTTCAAAGTTCTCAGACTAACTTTATCATAACACTCAACTATCTGAAACTGCTTATTGAATTATCTTAACTTCAAAATTACTCCAAATTCCATAAGGAAAAACTTTGTCTGTTTCACCATTTGTGTATACATTTATACATATAAATAGTAACTTTAAACAGTAGGACTCAGTTGGAATTCATTATCTCTTGATTTGTAAGTTTCTGTTAAATAAAATAAACACTTCACAAAAAGAAGTGCTCTCACACTGAAATAACCTGCCTTTCCTGTATGATAGAGAAGACACCGAGTGACCAAATACATCCTCGTCCACTTATGCTCCATTGTTTCAGAACAAGGCATGATTATAAGGGACAGGACAAAGCCCCCTTTTGAGCTATCTTTGAAAAGGGCATTTTCTAACAAGGTAGTCGTATAAAACATATATCAGGAAAAGTTATCCAAAATTGTGATATTTTTCTCCTATATTTGTCTTGGCATTGAGTTTTCTGCACAATTGGCTTCACCCAGAATATCTTCCACCTGCAGTGTTTTCTACCTCTCCACATCCTGTTAGTCCTCAAGGCCCAGTAAGTACCACGCTTTCATGAAGCCTCCTCAGACTGCTCATGGCTCCAACACCCTCCCCGTCCTCTGAATGGTCTTCCGGATATCCTCACAGAACACACTTTCATGGCATCATTCATGTGAGTAGATCTTCCTTCTCTTTTGCAAAAACAAATTTGTATGTTACTGGAGGGAAGAAACACATCTTTATACTTTTCTGAATCCAGCCTAGTGCCTTGTATGTTGTACTCTGTGAAGATTCAACAAATAGCTGATAAATAAATGCACTAACACAAAAAAATAACCATTATATGTATTTAAGTAAGTTTCTTAAAAGCCTTTTATGGCAATGTTTTATTGATTTTACATAGTAATCATGTTTATTCTGTCTGCTCAGACACACACACACACACACACACACATCCTTCAAGCTAATGATCCTAGGAGGTCTAAATGAAAGCTTGCTTACTCTTAGCTTCTTCCCTTCTTAGTTACAAAGGGAAAATCATCCAGATGATACCCAAATCCCTCTCTGCAGTTGATTGGTCCAGGTTGTAAAACTGACATATACTTGGATAATACTTATCCCTGAGACCTAACAGAGCCCATCTCAGTTCCTGTCCGGAAAAGATACTGTAAGATATGAGTTGTGAACTATTGGGTGCCACATTATCAGTCTTCATTGAAGAGACTACAATGAAGAAAAAAGGATGACATGAATGAAGACTGAGAAGCATAAGACACAGGATTCTACGGCCTCAGAAGACCCCCAACTCGCTTCTTCCCTGATACACACCTCATGTCAAATTCCATGTACTTTGGATAAAAGTCATTCTTCTTTGCTGGCCAATGTAACTGCAGTTTATCTGTGTGGTAACTAATCAAAATAACTTTAATAAAATTAGACTTTACAATGGGCATTATTATTTTACTATATTATAAATTTTATCAATGGTTCATTAACTGAAATTGCATTTCTTTGCCACTTAACTGGTTCAATATCAAAAATGCTTAAATTCATAAGAATACTATTAAGTTCATCTATTTCTCTAAAGTAAATAGATTGATTATGGAAAAGATACTTCAATAAGTTGTGAAGAATTTTCATCCTTAGAAAAATGTATTAACCATCTCTTAGTAAATTCAAAAATCAATTAATAGCAGTATGGTCCCTGGTAACAATAATGAATAATTGCATATTTCTTATTAGTTTATGTGTTATTGCTCAATAACACAGTTTGGGGGCTTCAAAAATTTTTAAAGTTCATGGAAACACTGTTCTATTTTTGTTCTATTTTCTCATTAACATTTTAAAATTTCATTGTATGTGTTCTGTTCTGAAGATGATGAAAAAAGGCTTAGAATAGTTAAGTTACATGTCCACAGTTGCCCAACTCTTTCTTTATTGAAGCAATCTTTTAAACTTGACTTACAATGCTCAGAAAAATATCTCACACCCTGTAGATGCACATATCCTTTAGGTCTCCTCCATCTCTTTCATTTTTACCCAAATTCTGTCTTTTTTCCACTACATCACTCCTGAATGCTGTAGGGATGACTCCTGAAACTGAGTTCTACAACCTCCCTTTCTGGCATAGGGCAGTCCTTAATCCTCTCTGCCTCTGTTTCCTATCAGCAAGAAAGACAAAAATAGTTATTATGTTCACCCAACAAAAAGGAAATTAATGGTTGATTAGATGCCTGTCCAACACAGTAAGGATGAAAACCAGTCTTCATGGTGAATTATTGAATTAGGGGCCAACTTACAGTGAGGCTATGTCTACACAAAGCCAAACATCCAGTTGATTCAGCCAAAAAAAAAAGTTTAGCAACAGGAAAAAAATGAAATTAGTTGATCAGGATTGTGCAGACAAAATAAAACCAAGAAACTAATGTCAATAGAATAACCTGGTTATAGTCCTGCAGTTTACCAACTGAAAAGTCTGTTAGACTTTTGATGCTCATTGTCAGAGATTCTATTAGAGTACACAAAAATAGATTCATTAAATTTGTGTGGGGATATATATCCTTTATTTCCTCTCATATTTCTCTTTTATTTTCAGATGTCAAATTTAAGATAGAAATCAAGGAAAAAGCAAGCCAACATTCAAAAAACTGAGCTAACACCTCAGCCCAGGAAATTAAAAAGAAGCACTCTCCTTTGATAAGTCTGGCATTTAATGTATTATGATATGTCATCTGTCATGACTTAGTTTCACATTTGATGGACTAAATATTATCTTTATTTTCTGAAAAGCATATGGTATATTGAGATCCAGTTTATCTACGGATTTCTAACTAATGAAATACACTCAGTGTTTACACGGATTTTCCCAAATCCTTTTAACACTATGGCAAAGATCAGAAAATCTTCTTTAAAATGTGTGATTTTTTGCTTGATTGGCTTTAGATTGTAGTTGCTGACCAGCATTAGGGATGTATGTATGTCAGTTGTGCTGTCAGGGGATATTATTTCAATGCCCTGTATCATTTTTTTATTTATGCTTCTGTTATGCACTCTTGTAGTAGTATTATACTGCAATACTTAGAGCCTATAACTCTAAATACTTTAAAACTGCATTAAATTTGTATAACTATTGACTCAGTTGGGTAGAGATGCTAACTTAAGAATCACTTATCACTCTATTAAAAATGAAATAAGCTAATTAAAACTGCAGATCTTCATTAATAACTTATTAATTTAACTCTCCCCCAACTCTAAATTAATTAGACCCAGGAAGTGGACAAAGAAATCATTCTTCAATTGGATTGGAGAGTACAGTTTTATGAACTGAGTCCTGAACCCCAAGAATGAACACTTACAGCTGCCACTGCTTTCTGTTACCTTAAATACTACTGGGCCATATGGAACATTTCTGAGGACATTCTATTTTAAAATGTTCTCTACATATTTTATGTTTTTCCATATGTCTCATCCTTATTTCAGAGTTGCTATTCATTTCCATACAAATAAGATCTTTGTTTTACAAGAGTTCATTTTTCCCTGTCCCTTCAGCCCTATTATGGACACAAACCTCCACTTAGGTTATTACAGCCACTCTAGGACCAGCTGATTGTGGCAAGATGAATAGAGAATTATTTGGAAGAAAAACAGACATGGCAGATGATCTGTGGGGCTACAGAGCCCCTGTTTTCTTTACTCATTCCAACCAACCCAGTGTGGAAGATAATCAACGTGACACTTGTGTTGAATGGTTTCAAAATGAATAAAATGTTTACAGAAATCAACACTGAAACCCTGTAGGAAGTGACGAAGGAAGATATAATTTGGTTAACTGAATATTAACCAAAATGTGCTTTCTGAAAAAAGGAGCTCCCTGTAGTTTAGGGTTGACTTCGAGCAATTATCCAAACAAAACAGTTGGCGCCTGTGTTGGCGACAAAGAAGTGTTTGCATAAAGTAGAGTGAGAAGACAAATATGCATGAAAATTAAATTTAGGCCTCTGGGACTACCCTTTTGGGGCCATAGAAGAGCTGATTACATGTTCACAGCTGGAATTGGTGTTGGCAGGCAGGCCTTATTCATGGGCAGAGGGAGGGACTCCCTTTTTGAGTGACAGTCTTATGGCAAAGCAAGAACGGCAGCACTAAAAGCATCTGATGCTCACAGACTTCAGGCTCTGTGGTCCCAGGCTGTTCAGATATGGCATCCAACTGGAGTTGTCTCCACGAAAAAATAATTATGTGGTTCCAGGTGTGTATATATCTATGCGTCTGCTCAAGTACAAGTTCTTTTTCCCATTCATTACATTCTCATCTGCTCAGGTTTCTATGAGCTAAAGCTTTTCCAGTTAGAAGGCAGCAAGAATAGCCAAGGAATAGCCAGTATTCTGGACAACACAAAAGCTGAATCTTGCAATATCAAAGTTGAAGGCCATGACACGAAGTTGACGCCATCTTGGAGCAGGGTCCTTTGGACACATTCAAAACCCAAAATGTGTGCTTTAGCAGGCATCTGGCAATAGGTCTCCTGGCATCTGTAGTGTTGCATTGCACAAAGAGCCCCAATTCTTTGTTTTTCCTTTGCAATGTGACCTTTCCCAAACACAGTCTGTTTCCCTCTTTCTTAACCTATGCTGGATTTATGACTTGCTTTGCCCCATAATAAGCAATATTTAGCCCACTGAACATGGAGAAAATGACAATGGTGTCCTAAGGCAAGAGAAAGTATGTTGGGCTCAATAATGATAACAATATCTAATTTTATTGTGCACTCATGTGCCAGGAACTGTTCAAAGAATTGTACTTATTACCAAATTTAATTTGCCCATCACAGCCTGATAAAGTATTTGTTACTCCCACTTTTTTCACAATAAGAAAACAAAGTCCATGGTGGCTAATAATCTTGGTCAACACCCACAAATATGAATCAGCAGAATCCTAATTTGAACCCAAGGCCATCTGTTTTCTGAGCCTACACTCCTTCACCAGCATATGATAGTGTTCTTCAAGGGACTTGACCAGAAGAAGGTCAACAACAAATGCAAAGGGGGGAACCAGGACTTCTGTAATAGCCTCACAATGAAGGTATGATACCCATGGTAACGCTTCTCATTTTATTCTCCATTGAGCCAACAGTGGGATCATTTTAAATATTACATCCTGTCACTTCCTCACGAAAACTCTTCCAATGGCTTCCTATTGCACTTAACAGAAAAATGAAAATTTGCTATTATGGTTCCAAGGCCCTTATTGACATAGCCTCTCCCAACCTTTCTACTTAATCTGTCTTATCACCTTCCACACCTTTTCTACTTCCTGCCAGCTACAGGGAACTTCCTCCTACTCCAAGCTTGTCCACGCAAGTCCCAAGACTTTGCTAATTAGAATACTGTTTCCCAAGACTTAAACATTAGCTTAGTCTCTTGCATCCTTCATGTTTTGCACAAATATTACCTCTTCATAGATATCTCCCTAAAATGAAATTTTTCATTCCCAATGCTCTCTCCTTACCGAAATTTACTTTTCTTCACAAAACTAACTACATCCTGGAATTATATTAGGATATGATTGATCTTTTACTTATTTATTGACTGGTTGTCCCTCTAAAAAGTACATTACATAATGCAGAATCTTTGGTTATTCTTGTTTACTGCCTACGCTAGCATCTAGCACCTTAACATTGTTTGAGATTTATTTCAAAGTTTAAAATTCTTTTTCAAAAAATTAAAGTTTCAAAAAATTTAGAATGTTAACGAAAAAGAGTATACCCAAAGTAGGAAAAGTAGGAGTCTGATAAGTGGGTAAGTGATTCTCAATATCAGTGAATAAGAATGGTGCATTTAATTACAAATTCTGGGGTAGGAGACCCCCAGGTGATTGTGATCCAAGTGGTCTGAAGATAGGGTTGTCAGACTCAGCAAACAAAACAGCAAGTTAACTTGAATGTCAGATAAACAATGAATATACTCTACGAGACATACTTGAACTGAAAAATTGTCTGAATAATTGACTGGATGTCCTATATTATATTCAAAAACACTGTCTGGGACTACAACTTAGAGGACAAATTCTGTATTAAATTGAGAGGTAGTCTTCAGTTTGGAAAGAATAAACTTGGTTGAGAAAAGTACATGATATACAAAAATATTCAAATATATAAAGAGAAAGGATAGCTAGAGTCTGGACTCAAGAGATCTAAGAGCAGATATTGAAGTCATCTGATGATACATTTTGACTTCCTCTAGCAAGATGACATTAACTACAGGTTGGTTTGGTGGAATGGGTTACCTCTCATAGCAATGGCTTTTCATCTCCAGGAATATGCAAGCTATGTTGTTAAAAAAATCGAATGAATGTTGAGGAGGGGATCTTTCATGGGGGAGAGAGTTAGATCAATTTTGAAGACATTTCCAGTATCAGAATTCAGTATCTGGGAAGCAACAAAACAAATATCCTCTGTGTTAGATGGGATTCCATTCATTGAAAGTAACCAGAAACCAACTCAAATAGGCATAAATAAAACATGGAGTTTATTATTTTGTATTGGAAATTTAGGGAAGGTCTTTCCTTAAGAATGGCTTTGTTAAGTGTAGAAGGGATATCACGAGGATTCAGCTCCATCTCTCAGCACTGTTTGTCTCCAAGTTAGCCTAGGTCTCAAGCAGTCTCTTCCTGCATGGTGACCAGTATTCCAGGCCCAATATCCTAATAGGATTGCAGTCTCATCAGGGGAATAACACTCCAGTTTCTCAACAGTTCCAGCAAAAACAGAAGGATAACATCTCATGTCCTGCCATGGCTCAGATGCCAACTCCTGAACCAATATCTCAATGCAAGGAAAATTAAATGCAATGAAGGAACTCTTTGAGGTCAAGTGCTTATTACTAGAAATAGAAATTCAGAGTAAGCTAATCCCCACTGAAGTTATCAGTACTGCTGGGGTTTATGGGTAATGTTACCTAAAAGGGGGAGGGAAGGATGGGACGCTGGCCAAACAAAAGTACCAGATTGTTCTATATGCAAATTCAGTCTGTCTCAGCTGTCATATATGCTAACAAGTTTTCATTAAAGTCATTCTCCTCTACAGTGCATTCATCGTCTCTTCATCAAGTTCCTCCTACACAATAAAAAAACATACCTCTCCTCCTCCTGTAGAGCCAATCTTTTACCCAACGGTTAATTTAACTGAGTGTCAACATTTCTTGAACAGAAAACATTTCAACTATCTAGAAAGACTGGGCGCATAGTGCAATGTGTTACCTCTCAGAGCAGTGGGTTTCCACCTCTGGGAGCTTCAGTTATATTCTTTGAAATAACTGAATGAAGTTGAGGAAGGGGCTCTGCTCCATGGAGAGATCAAAATTATAGCAACTCTAAAGACTCTTCAACAGTAGGAGTTCAGTACCTTGGAAGGACTGAAAGATGGACCTGTATTTCTTGACCATTTCTGAGTTGAAAATAATTATGGAGCACCTATTATGTTACAGGTATTGTTTCTAATACTAGGAATACAAAAATAACTAAAACATGGTTTCTACCTTTCAAAATATGACCTAGAGAAAGTGGAAAATACAGAGGAGATAAGTAGTAAGTACATGAGGCAGATATGCATTTACAGCTAGGGCCAACAGAAGAGATAGCATGTAACCCAATGGGATCACACTGTAGGCACTAATTTCTCTCTTTATCAGAATACAGGAGTCATGTGTTTGTATGAAAAGTTTTTAACATCTGCTTTGTCACCTGGCTGTTTCAATGGTTATTAAGACAGTCCCCAAAACACTTAACTAAATGATGCCATTGTTCTTTATAAAACACAAGGACTTACAGTTTTTCTAATAATAAAAAACCTACATATTCACTGTATAAATTTTAGTACGTAAACAGAAGACATGAGAAAAGGAAAAAATATACAGAACTATTCTAAGTATTTTTGTGCTATTTTCACTTCAGCCTTTCTCCTTTCTATCTCTACAAGAAGAGAGCTCTCCTGTAATATATATGTATTAATATAATATATAATATCCATGTGCAGTTGTGGATATATGTATATATGCCTATAGTATATAGTGACTTTATATTCTATTTCTCACTTAACTCTCCATTATTGAACATTTCCCATTTCAATAAGTATTCTTTGAAGAGTTTTCTATACCATAATATTGACCATATGTATGATGATACAATCTTTATGAAGGATGCATAAAAGGAAATTCTTAAGTAAAATGATGACTTACGGCAGATAAAGATGTCAAACTTCAAAACAGTCTAAGATTTACAACACCCAATGTGTCAAGTACCCTGAGTTTTAAGAGAGATAAAAATGTTGTTGAACTCCCTGTGTTCATTTACCACTCCAACTATAGTATATGATGTAGTATATAATACACAAGTAACAAATAATGCACACATGACTTTATATTATCTCTCTTCACATTCAGACCCACATCAAAGAGTTCTGTATTATATTTATAGTTCTGTCAGTATGATTATCAACTACTTTTAACATTCTATTTAGAAGAAATTAACAAAGCCAACTGAACTTCAGATGGACTTTGTACAGAAAATGTGTCTCTAGATTTTAGAGACTATATCTGCGTTAGATATTACTAATAATTTTCACATTGTTTTGTCTTGCTTTGTAAGTTCAAGAATTTGGGTTATTACCTCTGGAGGTAATGGAATTACCAGGAGTTCATAGGGAATTCTAATAGGATTAGACCCACTAGTCTCAATAAATTTCTTGATGTCAAATTCAGGATTATCTGTAACCTCTAGCCATGTAGGTCTAGAATACAGAGGCACTCTGCAGGGCTGATGAATTTCAGATACTAGTCAATGCAAGCATGTCTCTATGAGTAAGGATGAGAGTCCCATTGTCCCTGTCACAAGTGTTTCTGAATCCTTATCTCTAGCTTTGTAATGGTATTATTTTCATGTCTCTCTCTGTCCTAACTTCCCACAGAGCTTTGTTTCCACCACCTGCATAATCTGCAAGTATAGTCATCTGTTGTTTCCTTAACTTGTTTTCAAGGACTCATCTATTTCATCTCCTTGGGTCTAATAATTGTGGAAAGAATTCAACATCAGGGTCTCACCAGTCTTTCTCTTGTCCCAAAGTTTACTTTTTTCCCCAAGACAGGAATGGCCAGATTATCAGCTACAGGGATCACTGTGCCCGAGAGTAAGGAAACAGGATTCATGCATTCTGCTGCACCCCTGTTTCCTCATCAGCCTGTTCTCATGATGGACAAGTTCTCCTGATGCTTCCAATCCCCATGCTATAAATACACCAAGCAAAACTGCCACATTCTCCCACCCAGCTTCATCATTTCAGTAGTCAGCATAACTAATGCTTGGATCCCATTCCAAATCCTTGCGTATACTCTCAACTGGATGGGTGGAGACTAAGGAGCTGCCCTCCATCCCCCCAGTGCCCCAGCTACCCATTCTGCAGAGCACACCACAGCACAGCAGCTGGATGTGCATCTGTGAGAGCGCAATCCACGTCCTACCATCATGGGACATTAGACATGCTTTCCATATCCTAGGAAGAAAGCCTTTGCTCTGTGCATCACTCACACTCAAAAACGACTTGCAGCTTACAAAGTTCACTCAACAATTCTTTCTTTAACATCTACCCTGTGCAAGGTATTAGGTTGATCACTGGTGGTTAGAGCAATGAATCAATGGGGCCCAAGCTCTGCTTTCTAGAAGTTCTAATCTAGAGGGATCAAGATAGCAATCACCATGTAGTATTACTAAACCTGTCATGGGAGAGGAGCATTTCATAGTTACTCTGTGGATTACAGTCAGTGACATTAATATTTCCATTTTATAGATAAGATAACCGACACAGAAAATCAAAGGTACTCAGGATCATATGGCTCACATAATCAGGAGAGCTAGAGAAGGCTCTGATCCATTTCATTTCCACAACAGCCTGACACCTCTGTAAAAATTATAGAACCTAATTTATCCTAGAGAAGAAAGGATAATTAAGAAATTCATCCATTTTTGTTTTAAGTTTATGCCAGTTTACTCCAGTCCATATAGATGTTATAATTTTCAGAACCACATTTCTAGATCCTACTGCTGATGATAAAACATCTTACACATGATTTTAAGCTATGTTTGTCAGTTTAAGGCTAAGTTATTCTGCAAAGGAAAACAACTCTGCAATGTCTGTGGTTAACTGAACATAGAATTATTGTCTTTCACAATTCATGTTCACTGGGAAGTCAGCTTCAGTTCTGCTTCACATAATCTTCAGACTGGGCCTTCTATGGAAGGAGCTGCCTCTATGTGGGACACTGCTGGTTTCATAGTAGAGGAAAAAGAGACCTGGCCCTCACAGCTTCTGCTTACGTGTTATGCTCACTTCTGCTCAGATTTCACTAACCGATGCAAGTCACATAGCCCAGCCTGACATCATAGAAGCTGAAAAGTACAATTTTCCCACAACTAAGGACATCAAATATTTAGAACAAGAGCCTGTTACATCACTCATGACTACACAAGTGCAATTACATGTGACACAGAAGACCTGGGGATGATCCTGGAGCTCACCTGGTGCGGTTTCACTGAAATGAAACTCTCTAGGCTCTGGCAATATCACTCTAAAACAATATTATTTCATTTACCTCAGGAAGTTGTCCTGAGATTTACGTGACAATGTGTAATAAAGTTCCTTGAAAACCCTGTTGTTCTCATATATTGCTGGGTTAAGATATTTGAGTTATAAGCTCAGTTATTTATGAGGCCAAGGAGACAACCCAAACATAATTATGAAAAATTTGCTCTAAAAACAAAAAAAAAATACCTACTGAATTACATTTTTTTCTTATTCCCCTTTTTTAAAAGAAACTTGTAATTTCTTTTTCAGAGCAAACCATGCATACCTAAAGGCTACAAGTGGCCTCTAAAATCATTGTCACAGACTGAATTTTTTTAGGAAAAGACAACATGACCACAAATCTTCAAACATTCTTCTTACACATATCAAATGCCTGAAGAAGTGACTAGAATTCAAGTCTATGATTGAATAAATAATATATTTATCTTAGAAAAGTATGAAAAGTAGTCAAAAATAATTAAGGAACCTAGAATGATATTTCAGACTCACACCTGCTAACTCATAGCATTTCCTTAATAAAACAAGTCAATTTTCAATAGTACTTTATGGACTATTAACTCTGATCCAACCATCATTCGATGTCTTCCTTCCTTCATCAAATCTTTGACTGACTGTTGTATGGCAGGTATGTCCCAGCCTCTGGTCACTGAATTTACAGCATTATTGGAATAGAGCAACTCTCATATAATGCAGAGAGATGAAGACAGTAAATCCAGGTAGCTAACAGGGAGCAGAGAGAGAGAGCGTGTGGCCTAATTCAGTGACATAAAGATGTTATAAGTCACGATGCAGAGGGAAATGCAATGCTCATGACTAAAACCTACAGAGATGATGCAAGCTTTTTAAAAAGGATTAGGAGGGGAGCACAGCATGGGAGTAAGACACTAGGGACAGGAGGTTGGAGGTGAGAAGGACTCAGTCATGCAGGACATCGGCAAGGGTGTCAGCTGCCCAAGCAAAGAGAATGATGAACAGGTCATTGACAGTCCCTGCCCACAGGGAGGATGCAGTTATCAGACAAACATGATGCATGGATTTTTATAGGGAGTTAAACCAAGCAGGAGCTGGTTCTGTGCAGTGGGAGAGCAGGAAAGAATGCAGAGTCTTTGAGATGGATTGCAGAATGGAGAGGATCTCAGCTATGGTTTGCATGTTCCCCAAAGTCCCTCCAAAATTCATGTGTTGAAACTTACACCCCAAATTTATAAATCAATCGTGTCTGGAAGTGTAGCCTCTGGGAGGTGATTAGGATTATAAGAGGTCATGGCCCGTGCCACAGCTCACTTGGCTAATCCTCTGCCTGCGGCTCCGGCACCCCAGGTTCTAGTCGCGGTTGGGGTGCCGGATTCTGTCCTGGTTACTCCTCTTCCAGTCCAGCTCTCTGCTGTGGCCCGGGAGGGTAGTGGAGGATGGCCCAAGTCCTTGGGCCCTGCACTCGCATGGGAGACCAGGAAGAAGCCCCTGCCTCCTGGCTTCAGATCAGCGCAGTGCACTGGCCGAAGTGGCCATTTTGGGGGTGAACCAACGGAAAAGGAAGACCTTCCTCTCTGTCTCTCTCTCACTGTCTAACTCTGCCTGTCAAAAAAAAAAGAAAGAAAAAAGAAAGAAATTATTTTAAAAAAGAGGTCACAAAGGTGAAGCCCCCATGATGGCAACAGTGGCCTCATAAGAAGAGGAACTCAAGTTGGCACACTTGCTACCCTGCTTCGTGATGCCCTTCACCTGCTACGATACAGCAAGAAGGCCCTCTCCAGGTGCTGGGGCCACGCTCTTTTCATCCCAGCCTCCAGAATCATGGCCCGAATAAACCTTTCTTCTTCACAAATCAACCAGTCTCGGGTATTTTGTTACAGCAACAGAAAATGGACTAAGACAGTCCCAATTAACAGAAGAGGGGAACTTTGAAAATATAAAGGAAGCAGAAATTCAGTGCATGGCAATGAAGGCAGTTTGAAAAATGAAAATATAAGGAAAGAGGAGTAAAAGAAGAGAGTGAAAAAGGAAAATGCACCCAGGTTCACCAGGTGCAGGGACTATGACTACTTACTGAGGACCATGGACAGGGGTCTAGGCTTAGCCACAGATATGAGCAGACATTTCAGAACATTCATGGGAAAATGGGATTAAAAGATAAGTTTATTTGTGGTGCAAAAAATTTGTGAAATCTATGCGTATTTTCATAAAATGTTTTTTCCATGAACTTTTTGAAGTCCTCCCATACACACCAGCTTGTTAAGCACTCCTCATATTCTCACTTCATTCATCACTCCAAGGACATATATATAAATTTAATTTAAGCTAAGTTAACTCATTAGGTAACTTTAAATTTGCCTAAAGAAAAACTAATCATATAAATTTAAATGTCACTCTAAAGATGTACAGCTCTTTAATTTAAAGTCATATATGTTCTTTGTGAAAAATTTTTGATAAGGAATAAGATTTGTAAATATTCATAGCTGGGTGAGAAACAGCTAAGAAATTTTTTAAAATGTTCAAAATCAACAATTTCAACATCTTAATTTCAATTATTTCAATGGGCCCTTAACATTTAACAAGAATAATCTATTTATATGTAGTGTTCTTTTTAAAATTTTTATTTATTAACATTTACTTATTTAAAATGCTAAGAGACAGAGAGAAAGAGAAATCTTCGATCATCTGGTTC